ATTCTCGAATACCCATCTCTATCTACACCTTGATCTGTTGCCAACTTTTCCCTGATTTCAAGGCTGACGCTAAATAATGGGTACAACACCATCTTTGAATTTGACGCTACCGCCGCCGCCGCCGCCATTCTCGAATACCCATCTCTATCTACACCTTGATCTGTTGCCAACTTTTCCCTGATTTCAAGGCTGACGCTAAATAATGGGATTCTTCTGGTAGGATCCAGATACAAATTATATCCTTCGAATATTTGTTTGTCATGAAAAATATAATTTTTGGTTTAATGTTCTATGATTTATATGATAGGGATTTGGGTAGTATGTGATACCTATAGTCCTACATCATGTAGTTTGGGATGCTTGATGAAGTATTTAAGTGGCTTGGTTCTTCCCCCTTAACAGCCAGCTTTTAAGGATGAGTTTTCCAAGTTGTTTGGGTGTCTATTAAATGGTATCAGAGCTGGTTGTCGGCGTCACGGAGAGGGCTATATATATGTGGAGGGGCTGATCGGTGGAGGGGCTAACCGGAAAGGCCGAGTGAAGCAACGCCGAGTGAAGCGTTATAAAGTGCAGCCGCAGGGATGTCAGCTCCCAGGGGTGGTGCTATGATAGAGACTTGGGTAGTACGGGATACCTAAAGTCTCACATCGAGTAATTTGGGATGCTTGATGGCGTATTTAAGTGGCTTGGTTCTTTCCCCTTAATAGCTAGCTTTTAAGGGTGGGTTCCCCAAGTTGCTTGGGTGCATGACTACGGAATTATTTGATAAGGAAGAAGACGTATTTTTGATTAGGAGGAAGACTTATACTTTCGTTTGATAAAGAAAAATTAAGTTTTTGGTAGCACTAAGTTTCATAAGTAATAAGTTATTTTTTGAAGATGTATAGACGTGTTAAATCTCTGAAAATAAGTATAGAATCTAGAATGAAAATATATTAAAGATCAAAGTAGAATTGTTGCGAGTTGAAAGAATAGCTAGACGAGTAATTACTCTCAAACTATTTTGATAATTAGTTGATCAAATCACAGCAATTCCTGTTTTTATATATGTTGTGATCATCCCTCAATTTTTATTTCACAATGGAAAATTACCATTACTTTTAAAGTTCAATTAAATCAATTAAAAATATATATTAGTTATTTTGTTAAAAAAAAAAGAATCAGGATATTGCAAATTTGCACTTTGGCACCCCCCGCTATTACTTTGAACTTTGATACCCTAAAGTTTATATATGCGCATAATACACCATGCGCTTTAATTTTTTTTTAACTTTTGTACCCTTGTTTTGGAGATTATTTATTTTTATGTTAATTTGAGATAATGTGCTTAAATATGAGTCGAATGTACACAAGAACGATGGGGAGGTGCTATATGCATATTTGGCGAGAGCACCGAGGAGGAGGGAGAGAACACCCGTGAGGATGGACGAGGTCAAGTGCAGCATGGGCAGCGACGATCACTGTGGTAGATGCATTGAAGCGCCTAGCTTAAATATGTAGCTAGGTCGCAGATGTTTATACGCATGCATGTATGTATATAGTTTTGTAGTAGAAAGGATGCATGTGGATATGTAAGTTCTGTTTAAGGCTTGGAAAGTGAGAGTTCGGATTCTATTAGAACACCTAGCATGGTGTAGGGAGTTCGGATACTATGAGAACGCCCTGCACAATATTGCGGGATGTTTTTGAGATGATAAGGAAATTCTGATAGAAAAGTTAACAAAAAGTAACAAATGAAAAGTGACGAGTGTCACATAGGCTTTCTAGCCACTTTGGCCATCTACTTTCAAAAAAATTTAAGGGGGTTGATATAAAGTAGAAATTGATGACAGAGACCTAGCTACATATTTAAGCTAGGCGCTTCAATGCATGTGGATATGTAAGTTCTGTTTAAGGCTTGGAAAGTGAGAGTTTGGATTCTATTAGAACACCCAACATGGTGCAGGGAGTTCGGATACTATAACAACGCCCTGCACAATGCGGGATGTTTTTTAGATGATAAGGAAATTCTGATAGAAAAGTTAACAAAAAGTAACAAATGAAAAGTGATGAGTGTCACATGGGCTTTCTAGCCACTTCGGCCTTCTACTTTCAAAAAATTTTAAGGGGGTTGATGTAAAGTAGAGATTGATGACAGGGAAATTTATTCCCCCCGGTTATTTTAGTATTACTTGTCTTACTTTTTAATATCACTTTTCATATATATATATATAAGTCCTCTTTAAGGCTTGGAAAGTGAGAGTTCGGATTCTATTAGAACACCCAGCATGGTTCAGGGAGTTCAGATACTATCAGAACGCCGTGCACAATGCGGGATGTTTTTGAGATGTTGAGGAAATTCTGATAGAAAAGTTAACGAAAAGTAACAAATGAAAAGTGATGAGTGTCACATAGGCTTTGTAGCCACTTTGCACCCCCCTAGTATTACTTGTCTTACTTTTTAATATCACTTTCCGTAATAATTAAATAGAACAAGAAGAAAGCAAAGTTTCAGATATTGATAAGCCACCTCAATTTTTCATTTGTTTTACTTTTTAACATCGAAATAAAATTTTGCAAGAAAAAACATAATAAGAAAATATTTTCTCAAGAAAGCGTTTTCTTTAATTTTTAACATTTATTTATTTTTTGGTTGCCAAAAAAACCTATATCTATTCCTTTATACAAAAGGGAGAACCAGAGAGTCACTGCTCATGCTACAGTAAATGCTACAGTAGATTTACTGCAGCATTATTACTGTACCGGATGGCCAAGTAAAAATATTACTGTAGCGCACGGGTATACTGTAGCATTTAAAAGGTACTGTAGCAGAGTGGGATACTGTAGCATTACCAGAAAATTCAAAACAGGAGATGTTAAAAAGGTGAGATTACTGTAGCAAAAAAAAAATCACGGACAGCAGACTAGTTAATATACTAATGGAGCAACAGGTTAAATCCCAATCGCTTATATAAACTGTCCCGTATCAAAAAGCATTACTAGATGACTTGTGATTCATTACAAAGCTAACACTTAGTTATATTTCTGTGATTACGGTAGGCAATACTTTGCTAAAGACAAAACTATATAATTGTAACAAGCCTCAACAATAATAGAACATAATGATTAAAAATAATGATATCTTCACGACCATTGGAAACATTTGAACCTAACTAGGATTATCTTAAATTATGATCACAATAATAAAAATCATATTTTGTTTCATATAACTTAATACGCATCTATAAAAATTAGCTTTGAATTATCATATTAATATTTTATCTCATATGAATTAATAGCTCTATTAATCAAATTTTATGTTTTCATGAAAAAAAACCAAATTTTATTATGAACTACTATTATCGTGATTTTTGAAGAGCAACAGTGTCTTCAAAGAGGGAATAGCAAAGAGTAGGCCTGCAGACAGGGTCATCAAGCTTCGGTTTTTCTGGAGTCAGGGCTAACGTAAGGCCCAACTAGGAAGATCAAGCCCATCGATTCGGGCCTAAATTAGACCCATCTGATTTTAATTTTTTAAAGTTTTTAAAGTTTTTTAAGTTGTTAAGCTCACATTAAATTTTTAAAATTCATCCCAACAAAAGATATATAATTAATGAGAATAACGGGGAAAAGGTAATAAAAGAAGGAAATTTATTAATATTGGTAAAAACTAAAAAAGCGTAATTAAATATCAAAGGAAAAAAAAAATTCTTTTACCGGAAAAGATTTGCAAGAAATACCCATAACGAACATTGAGTATTGGCAACAAAATTTAGACCGTCTTTGGTTAGCTGAGCTGGCTCAAAGAATGAGTCTCGATACTTAAAATGTAGTATGCTAAGTAACCTACCTAGCCCAAATTAATGGATTGACTAAGCAACCCGGTGCACTGAATCGTCCTATACTTGACGCAATATTCCATGGGCTCTAGCGTAATTAAAATTAGGTGCAAGTTGGCCCGTAGGGATATGAGTTAACCCCAGCCTGTATTCTGTTGACCCAAAATTTATTATTTCCTTTTTTTTTTTTTGGTTAAAGAAAAATGGTGGAGCGTATATGGTCAGAGAAAGTATAGGATACAACCGAGTTTAGCTTTTCAATAAGTACTTTGTTGAGAAATTATATTTTATATTTTTCACTTCTCATTTACTTTATGTTATGGGAAAAATGTAATTAAAATTATATTTTATATTTTTCACTTCTCATTTATTATTTACTGTATTCTGTAGTACTTTGTTTATATGTAAGTGAAAGATGAAAGTGAGAAGCTTGGTGAATGCAATAACTTTCTTATATTTCACTTTCGTATACATGCAAACAAACATATAATTTTTTTTAAAAAAAGTCACTTTCTCACTCCTCATAAATGATAGTAAATATATTTAGTAATTAATTCTATTTTTTCACATCATTTTTACATTGCACTTTCAACAATATATAATTTTGTTTTTTAAACAAACACTTCATGCTGACATGGATGCGAAAGTTATCTACAAAAAGGAAAAAAATTACATATTTGCAATTTACTACCACCTAATCAAATAGCTGGTGAAATAATATCCTAATCAAATCTCACAAAAACTAAATAAATGTGAAATTTTTAACATCAAATTTGATTTTGCATCTGAATATTCACTTTGTTTAACAAGGTGCTCTTAATTGTTCTACTTGGCACAACCACCTTCGGTAGGTTTTGAGTAGGGAAGGCAATATGTGTCCATGCCCATTTACCCACCTAGCCCGCCCATCTTTTAACCCGCCCAAAGCCCACCCATTTAGTTAAATGGGTCTAAATGGGCGGGTATCTATAGAAAAGAGATTAAACAGGCACTTAATGGGCGGGCATCGCGCCCGCCTTAAACCCGCCCGCCTTAAACTCGCGTTCTCTCTCTCGTTCTCTCGTCTCTCATTCTCTCTCATCTTACAGAAACCCTAATCCCTTTCTTCGTCCTCTCTCTCTCTCTCTCTCTCTCTCTCTCTCTCACTCTCCACCCATCGCCCCCATCCCCCACCCCCCCCCCCAACCCCCCACCCCTCCCCGTCTCAAAACTCCTCGCAAGCTCCCAGTCTTTCGTCGACTCTCCCTTTCTCACGCCTCTTCGTCTTGTGGTTTCGTCTCCTCAACAAGCTTGAATCTCTCACTGAGAATCCATGGATGAGGGAGATTAAGGTAAGATTTTTAATCATGGATTTGATTAGGTCGAATTTGTCAATTCATTTTAGGGTTTTTTTCTATTTTTGATTTGTCAAAAGAATTAGGGACTATTTGATTTAGATCATTGTTCTAATCACCATATTTTGGGCGGCTGGAATTAGTGAAATGAAGGTGAAATTTTGTGGTTAATTTTGGTTAATTCATCTAACCCAATAAAAATTTTGATTTTGTTGTTAGATTTCATTTTAAAGTGTGGCATTCATTGCATTATCTGTCCAATTTTAATTTTTTTCTTCTATTTTGGAGAATAGATCATTGCATCTTTGTTGTTGCAAGTAGATGCTTTATCATTGAATCAATTATATATCAATAAAGAATTGTAATTTGGCGTGTGCAGTTATCTAGAATGCAATTAGAGAAACCATTTGATTTGCTTTATGAACTTTCTTTCCTTGCTTCAAGTGGCTTTGCATTGAACGTCTTCATAATAACAGAATGAATTAGTCCCTTGATAAGTGAGCATGAAGTTCCTGAAAGCTAACTGTGTTTATGCGTGCCCTGAGATGTGAGTACGTATGGATAAACACATTTATGTAGCTCAAAGAGCATGTGTATGTTTGATATAGATATCTTGGTAGAGAGAATCAGTACCAGAGTTGTTGCACACGAGAATTTTCTACATATGCACATGTGTCGAATTTGATATGCTACATATGCACATGTGTCGAATTTGATCAAAGAGATAATTTTACCCTAAGTCCCCTAATTTTTGTAGAGGACGAAAAGCAAGTGCCAAGGACTCAGTTTTTTTTGGGGCTCCTCTCTCTGATCAATTCAAGTCAAAGCTTCAGTCCTTTGGTGTTCAGGAACAAGGTAATATGTGTAATCATATCAAATTGGAATTTGGACTTGGCAAACATGATGAAATATTTTTTAGAGTGTACAAATTTCTACTTTAAGATTTTTATTGATGTAACATTTGTTGCTGAGGATTTTGATTCCTGTTCAGCCTTATGCTTTTGTTTTCCGCTGGAAGTAGTATATAGTGAGAATAAGTGCATGGTTAGTTGGCATTTCATTCTGTTCATTATAGTGCAAAATCATATATTAAATACTATTTTCAAGACACCTAATCATCTGATTACAGTAACATATATTTAAACTATACTTTGATGTTTTTGGCAGGAAAAGCTTTGTGTGTGCGTGTGTGTCCGTGCGTGTGCGTGCATGCATGCCTGTGTGTGTGCTTGGTGGGGGGTGGGATTGGGGTTCCCTCACATCACTGGTCCTTTATATATACATGCATATTTTGACAGTTTCCTCTAGGTTTCTGATCTTCACTGTTTTATTACAATAGAGTGAAGAATGGCAAAGAATTTCCTCTTAGAATTGAAGTAATCTTTCCATTATGTTGTTGTTTTGTCCGTACTCAATTATGATTATGTTGTTGTTTTTCTTGGACTTGACATGATTATCTAGTGGTTTGTACAGTTCCCCTTCTAAATCACTAAATCGATTCTCTTTGTATCTTATACTTGATGGCACAAATGAACTCTGGCAGGTTATACTACAGTCTGGACAGTTTAAAGGAGAATTGAGATTTTGGTACGTGTTGTTCTATATTTATTATTTTTAATAAAGACAAATATTATCTCATTGAGTAAAAGAATCATGAATGTTCTCATTTTTCGGATATAACTGCAAAGTAAGAAACTTATAGGTGAATGTGGTCGTGCATCGAGGGGAAACAAACTCACACCTGATCAAGTACAACACATAGATGTTACATTTGTTACCGGTGATCTTTTGTTTCACATTCAACATTTTAAGTATAAACTGAAGTTGTTCAATATTTGGAGGAATTGTCAGTGCTACAAGTGGTTTTTTTCACCTTCATGAGATTCCTACGTGTTACAAGTGGTTTTCACCTCCATGAGATTCCTGTAAGACGACTTTCTGTTGGTGCAACACTCAGAGCAGCTACACCTTACCAAAAGGCTTTTTTTCTTTTTTTCTATTTGAACTAAAAGACTAGAAAGATACTCAAAAGATACTCAAAAGACTAGAAAAGTTTTTGTAGAAAAAACTGATATGAGAGCAAAAAGAATGGCTCGGAAAGCAGGTGCCTTGGTATGTTAGTATGAAAGTTAATGATTTACCATGAGTTCTTTTTTTCTTTTGTTTGACAACATACTAGGCCATGGGAGATATTTAATTCTTTTCAGTTTATTGCCACTTATTTATGACTTCATGAACTTTAATTATGGAATAATTCAAGTTATCATTTGTTTTCTTTAAGGTTTGCTGGAGCTGCACATGCTACTGATTTTGGCCCTTGTGTGCTATTATATAGGTCATTCTTTTGTGTGAGTTTTTTCAAAAATTATTTTATGGCAGGTAATTTTCGTTGTTGATGCCAGTGGCAGTATGACATTAAACCGTATGCAAAATGCTAAAGGTGCAGCATTGAAACTATTGGCAGAAAGCTATACTAGAAGAGATCAGGTATGATATAAATTATGTCTCCATTTAGATGCATTTACAGCATCTCACATGTTAATGGTACCGTGTTTTATTACAATTGAGATAATGCATTATGCCTGGTCTTTTCTTTCTTCTGTCATGATCATGTTCATGCCTGAACATTTGAAAGATGGGAAATAAGTGGACTATGGTTGTGCTACTATTTTGTTTATAGACGAACTTAATACTCTTCAAGTTTATCAAAATCCCTCCCTTTTGATCTTTGTTTCCTGGTCTTTTCTTTCTTCTGTCATGATCCTGTTCATGCCTGAACATTTGAAAGATGGGAAATAAGTGGACTATGGTTGTGCTACTATTTTGTTTATAGACGAACTTACTACTCTTCTAGTTTATCAAGTAATTAAGTAGATTGTCCTTAATAATCGTGATCGTGTTGCTGATAGTTATGATGACATTTATATCAAGTTATTGATCTTATACAGATCCTTACATACCTTGTGTTTTCTATCTTGATTCATTTAAATATTCTCGCAATTTTGTTGTTATTGATCTTTTGGTTTTGGTTTGGAAATCTGAGGTTAATTTTGCAAATGTGTGAGGTTTGTACTTTTATCCAGGCTTGTAAATGGTTCAATCATGAACTTGTTTGCCTTTGTTTGTTTATCTTTGTTTATGTTCCTATTTTTGTTAGTATTTTATCAAAAGCCCCAACAAGTTTGCAAAAAACCCATAATAGTTTACAAAAAGCCCCCTAAAAGTTTACAAAAAACACCCCAAAAGTATTATGTACATATAACCACTATAGTTAAATGGGCAATTGGGCGGCCCGTTTATTAAATGGGCGGGCAAAAGCCCGCCCATTTAGAAAATATTAAATGGGTCATAAATGGGTAAATGGGCAAAACATGCCCGCCCATTTATGGCCCGCCCATTTAACACCCAAACCCACCCATTTAACATCCCTAGTTTTGAGTAAGATCGATGATCAAGAAGCAGTACGAAGACGACTACGTACTAATGTCTTAATTTTAGTCGTACTAATATATCTTAATTAATTAATTAAGATTCCCTTAATAGTACTATTATTAAACTCAAAAAAGTAGATTACATTATGCAATATGTACCAAACTTTTTAATCATTGTAAGAGATCTTGCTTGTTAAAAGCCTCCAACTTTGAGACGCTTTCTTCAGTCTCCTGGTTTGACGTTAAAAGTACGATCAATATTATAAAAGATTCTCACAATATTGTAAGAATTAACGACTAAATACAAATTTAAGTAAAATTAAAGTTGGAGTTAATATCGGCCAATATATTATGAACTAGTTCTTTCACAACCTAAGTTCTAATTAAGCCCAACTAAACTTTTTGAGAGGCCTGATTTCTATTGAACGGGTCATTTTTCAACTTCATAGACATGACTGAGATATATCATATATAAGCACCGAAATGAGTATTATTAATACACATAACTTTTTCGCATTGAAAGAATTAATTATTAGCTAAAAAGAATTACACTAAATAGATAATAATATATCACCGGTACATGGTCTTCTTCAAACACGCCACACATTATAATCATCAGATCAGAATCTTAATTAGGTTGCACAAACATGCTTAATGTGCCCTTTAATTAACTTTACATCCTTATTCTAATCTTAATTAATTTGACCCAAAAAAACTACAGCGGGTTGTGTCCATATATGGAGTCTTTAAAACTGAGAAAGCCTTAATTAATTGACTTACAATTAATATTGATGATATATATTAACTATGATTACCGCGTTAATTTGTATTGGAATTACGTGAAGCAATATGAGGCTAGCTAAGACTATGCATGCGTTCAAAGGCCAAGTGGGGAATAAACATTATTTGTCCTTGCCATTAGTCTAAGCATCTTCGTCTATATATATAAACTCTTAAGTAAGCAGCATTAATATCTCAAATCTGAACAAGAAAATTGAGTCCTCTGACGTCTCTCACTCTCTCGATCCATATATTTTCTTCCCTTTAATTAATCAAGTCTAAGGTTGCAATTAATGAGGGAGCTATCTTTGTTTGTATTGTTGCTTGGGCTCCTTGGCAGCCAGGTTTTGGCTTCAACATGTCATTATGAGTTCATTGTAAGTTTGTTTAAACCATTATTGACGCGATTCTTCATTAGCGTAAGATTAAAGTTACTTAGGAGAATGAAATGTGCGCCTTTATGCATTCAGTTATGTACTTGAAACGTTACTTGTTGAATTATTAAAGGAGTTAAAAACACAGACGCTAATGTATTAATGCTGAACATCATAGTCAATAGATATGCATGTAGGAAATCTAGGGAGATTATCTACATTAGATCATCGTACTGTTAGCCATAGTGATTATGTTTCCACCCAATTGCAACTAATTAGCTAGTTAATTATATTCTCAAGTAATGCATCCGTACATTTTAGATATAATATCTAATAATATCTAATAAACTTTCATTCTGCTTCATTGAAAGATAACAATGAAACAAGTGATATATATAAAAGGTTAGGGACATTATAAATGTTTACCTGCCTTATTAGAATATTGTAAATAGCTCTACATATTATCTAGCTAATTCAAACATTCATTACATAATTTTTTTTTGCTTGTCCTAATTTCTACATCTTTGGTAGATAAAAGAAGCTTCCTACACCCGCCTGTGTCACACAAAGAAGATCCTCACCGTGAACGGTAAATTCCCAGGACCGACAATCAAAGCTCATAAAGGAGATAAAATAACTGTTACGGTTATCAACAAAGCAAACTACAATGTCACAATCCATTGGTAAACATACAAATTATTATTAATTATATCAGTCATTCAATATCAGAAACCATTTGATATATAGTTGTTGTTATAGTTACAGCATGAGTATCAGTTCCATGCATGTGCATCGTTGCTACGTACTTGTGCATGGAATTACGGTTGTAACCATTTGATGATTCAATATTTTTATTCGTAACAAGCTAGAGAGAAAATAATCTCTAGCTAACACTTGAATTGCAACGAAATTCAGGCACGGAGTGGACCAGCCAAGAAACCCTTGGTCAGATGGGCCCGAGTTCGTTAACCAATGCCCGATCAAGCCCGGGTCCAACTTCACCTACACCGTCCTGCTCTCTGAAGAAGAAGGGACTCTTTGGTGGCACGCGCACAGCGACTGGTCACGTGCGACGATACACGGAGCCCTCATCGTACACCCAGAGATTGGGACTGCTTTCCCCTTTCCTAAACCCGACAAGGAGATTCCTCTCATTCTAGGTACTCTCTGAGTTTATTTTATGTTTTTACGTACGTACGTAGTTTATTCACCCGGCGGTGAGTTTACGGGGGATTTCGATCGTATGTATCTCATCGCTTAATTTGTTGTTCTGGGTATTTAATTAGGTGAGTGGTGGAAGGGAGATGTAGCGGAGATACTCGAAGACCTTTTGCGTACCGGCGGTGACGCGACTCTGTCGGATGCGTATATCATTAACGGTCAACCCGGTGATCTATACCCCTGCTCCAAGAGAGGTAATAAAATGTCGTCAAGTTTCTAAAATGCCCTTCATGCATGTGCGACCAATTTGGATCCTCTACACTACAAAAAAAGTAGTGGAGATACCACTACTTTTAATCTCAATCGTTGATTACTTAGTATGCGGCTATGATACAATCTAAATCTAACACTCATCGTACCCCTGTGTATTGCATCGATCATTTCCTAATTTGCACTCAAAGAAAAAATCACAACCACCAACTAGATAATCAATGGTTGTGATTATGTATGTAGTGGTCCCTCCGCTACTTATTAGATAGTGGAGAAGATCCAAATCCATGTGCGACAAGCTTAATTAATTTTTACCACGACTAGCTATCTACAATACTATATATGTCATTGCCTTAAAAATTATACCTTTTTTATGAAGTATTATACTTTTCTAGTTAGCTAGCTTACATTATATTGTTACCACTTACGATACACGATAAGTGCAATCAAATTATATTATCATTTTAGATTCTTGACATGACTTAGGAACTTTCTTAAATTTTGATACGGGTTAGTTATTCCTACTTTCTTCTTATTGATGTTTAATATAACTTGTAAATAATATAATTTTTTTTCCAAAAATTTCATATTTTATACTCGTATAAATATGCATAAGAATTTCTTTCACATCAGAAGAATCCACATGATCTAGATCATCTCTTAATCTTATTAGGTGGTAATAGCATTTATGTCTTTAATTACTCTTTGCAGACACATTCAGAATGAAAGTACTTTACGGCAAGACCTACCTCCTCCGCATCATAAACGCCGCCCTCAACAACGAGCTCTTCTTCGCCGTTGCCGGCCACAACCTCACCGTGGTCGGCACCGACGGAGGCTACCTAAAACCCTACACAGTCAAGTACCTCATGATCACCCCAGGGCAAACCTTCGACGTCCTCCTCCACTCCCTCCCCTTCCCTTCCCTTCTACATGGCCGCCAAATCCTACAACAGCGCCACCCTCGTCGGGTTCGACAACACCACCACCACCGCGATCCTCGAGTACCCCTCGATTTCTGCTCCTCCTCTATTCCCTGCGTCTCTCCCTGATTTTGGAGACAACGAGGCTGCGGCTAAGTTTGTTTCGGGGCTTAGATCGCTGGAGGATGACGTCGACGTCCCTAAAACTATAGATCGAAGGATTATTATGACTATATCCATGAATGAGCTGCTTTGTCCGGACAATACGACGTGCGACGGGCCGAATGGGACCAAATTAGCTGCCAGCATTAGCAACATAAGCTTCGTTATGCCCAAAATGGATATTCTTCAGGTAATTAAGATTCGAATGGAATATTTAATGTTTTCTGAATTTGCTAAATATTAAAATTAACATATATTTGATTTAATATTCTATAGTTTATGCGTGTTGTGATTAAAAGGAATTTTTATTTTGTTAAAAAAGATATATGCTTTCATTTAATTAGTCTTTATTAATTTTTTAACTGCGTGAGGATGCATAATAGACGA